GGAGTTTAACCAGTGTCGATTATATCTCTCGGGTTGTGGACGAATAGTCGTGATGCAGGTTATCAGGGAGCAGGGTGCGAGTTCAACCCCATCATTCAATACTCTCTTAATCGATCTACAAGCTTATCTTGAGTTTTCCTGAAACTGCAAGAATTGTCCGACTAGCATTCTACTTCAATCATAGAAAAGAAGAGATCCTCAAACAGCAGTCAGAACAAAACGAAATATTGAAGGCCTTTGTGGAAGATGGATGCGAGAAAGCGAATGGAGTTACTTGCAAGACAGTGAAATGTAATGTCGGGTTGTGCAAAAAAAAACAGCTCCTCTAACAAGCTATGCGAAAAGTTCGTGCCATTTTGCTTTTTTAATATATTTTTGTGTTGTGTAATTGTACGATCTTCGTTTCATCCAATCGAGCGTTTTCTTGCGAACATTTTGGTGCACAACTTGCCTATACTTGCTTTGAGATGGAGCTGTCTTGGGAACAAAATCGCTTACTGCTGATAAACGAATGGTGTGTAGAAGAAAATGCTAGTGAAACGACGCGCAAGATTAATGATGCTTAGGGCGATGATACGGTTCGCACAAAGGCCGAATAGGAAGTGGTTTGCGATGTCAATGCTCTGATTATTCGTTTTGTCTCCTGCTCGAAAAAAAGTTTTGCAAAAATCATGTTGAAAATTCAAAAAGCACAAACTTTTTGCACAACTCATTACTTTGAAAGGCTTCTTATTTGCTTATCAATTTTCGACAACTAGCCGCTATTAACTACTCATACTCTATTTGTTTTTCAGGTCTCTCATCTTATCGTTAGTGAAAAATAGTGCACCAAAACTTTGAGGAGTGCAGATCAGCTAAGTACTAGCAGAATCCAGTTCTGAAGCTTATAACTAATCAATTTTTCCTTAAATCCTCTTTTGCAGAAGTCCTCGGCAGCATTTTTTGTAGGTCCAATTAAACAAGTAGAAGATAAGTTAGCGACGTTTTTTGAGTCAAATAAACATCTATATACCCAATAGTATTGAGTGTTGTGCAAAATCGTTTTGCGTTAGCCGGGATTCGAACCAGATCTCACTCTTTCCGGCTGCCCCGCCAGACCGTCGACGGTTGGCTGTAGACAGATAATGCCTTGCAGCGTAAGAAGAGTGCTGTGCAAAACGAGCGTCGGTGGTTGCATTGATTAGCATACTGTTCCCGGAAAGTATACGGGTTTGAATCCCGGCTGACGCAAAACGTTTTTTGCACAACACTCTATACTATTGCGTATATAGTAACTTCATACCACCGCAAGTGGCAGTCAGATGAAAGAGTCTGATTAACATCTCATGATGATGCGCCCAGTAGTGATAGACTAATATGTTTGGAAGTACAGTAAGTAGCTTAGTGGGTAAAATAAATCTGAGTTGAAATATGTTTGCTTGTTTTATTGTTACTTAAAGGTCAGCTCTGTCGTTTGGATTGACTGAGATGAGGGTTGAATCGATAATAATGAGTTCATGTGATGTAAGTGATAGAATGAATAATGAAGTTGACAAATGAACAAGTACCCCTCAAGGTGCCTTTGATTTGGTTGATTTAACCTTACGGTTGATGTGATGTGTAACACGCACACGACCACCATTGATTTTGCAAAAGCGAAAAAACGGTGAACTAGTCCGCCATTTGAACACGTGTTGCTTCTTTTCGAAATGGAACGATAAACTCTCGACACTAGAGGACTTGTGAGATTGAGAAGGTCCCGGAATTTTAGAAAGGTTTGGATCAGATTTATGATTAGTCATTCACATTGAATGTAATTCGACATTTCTTTTATCCAACTATCCCAAACAGTAGCCACGACCCACTATAACGGTAGCAAATCTATAAATCTTGAACTACTAGTCACAAGTTTACTATGACATCCTCTACTGATGATGACGCCTTCTGAACAACTTCTCACTTTTATTGAGAAAAGAACCTATGGGAGTCATGATTCAAAAGCCTTCTTTTTATATCTTCAATAAACAAACTTGTGTGCAATTTGAGTTCAAGTTAGATTATTTACCCAGGAAATCAATTAGTTTTGTTTTTCACAAAAGAGGTACTCTTTTATTGTCGAAAAAGACTTCTTGATTCCAATAGCATATTTGAGCTAAAAAGCTTCGTAATGGGCTGCCCTGTCTTTCTTGTTTGCTATGAATGCTGCCCATCGGATATTGGTTCTATCGGTGTAGATTGATCTCTTGGCTTACTGCATGTCTTTGGCACCAGACTCGAACGCCTAAACGGCCAATGTGATTAATTGGCAGCACTTACGAAGGAAAAAGGTATAGCAACTAATCGGTAAATAACTTACCATGCCTCGGCCTCGTAAAGTCTGCCATATTTGGTGAAGTAGTCGATGAATATGATGCTTCTGCAGACAGTAGTTACTGTCATTTTAGATGAAGATGATGAAAAGATGAAATTGATAGAACTCGAGGATTCCTCGATATCCGTGAGGAGTGCCTGCGATTGTTTCCGTCGTTAAAAATGACGTCGCTACGACCTTATAAAGAAACGTGAGGCGTTATTGTCTTCTGTGTAACTCTCTTTCTTGCCATTGTTTTGAGAAATAGTAAGCTGTTTTTGATTGCAGTATCCCTGGCTCTTAAGACCTGTCCGACTAGACTGAAGAAGGGCTCAGTGCAAGGTGATGAAATTGGGTATTCCACTGTGAGCTAAAAATCATCTGAGTGCCTATAGTAGCGGTTTGAATGGTGATGCGTTTGTTGTGCGTTGAGCGTCGATTATTTGATTGATTGTATTACTCTTGTTTGCCACGCGAAACATTTTCATGATATAGTCACGAACCAAACTGAGCGATGGTTTGTTGAATGAAAGTTTCAGATCCGTGGGAAATTTGCACTGTTTTCTTCCCACTGTTTCGCATGTTCCCTCGAAATTGCTCTATCCCAAGCGTAACAATTTGCTTCTTTTTTCTATTTTATACAAAAACATTCTCTAGAAACCTAATGGCGTCACTCTATTTCCTAACACTTCTATGTTGTGGCAGCAGCATATTCATTATGAAATTGTAGGAAATTCAGTCACCCTAATATATCTCGTCTTTCTGCAATGAGTTCAAGAACTCACTGAGTGGTTCAGTGATAGAATGCGTGCTTGCAAGTGCCAACCCGGCTTCGAATCCCAACCAATGCACTGCTAAATGCAGCGGTATGAGTGGTGCATGCGTTTGTTGTGCGTTGAGTGTCGATTGTTTGATTGATTTGCTCTAATATTGCAGGCTACACGAAACATCTTAATGATATAGTCATGATCCAAGTTGAACGATGACTTGTAGAATGAAAGTTTGAAATCCGTTAGGAACTTATGTTGTTCTCTCTCATTGTTTGACATGTTCTTTTGAAATTGTTCTATCACAAGCGTAATCAAGGTGCTAAGCGTTAAAGAGATAATTTTCCTGGTAGTGCAGATGTGTGAACCATCCTATTGAGTCTTAGATGACGGGCACTCGATCCGCTACCGTGTATTTTGTATATTTTTGCAACCTTATGCATCTATATGTGAGCTATTCATACAAAAATGACTGTTTGCATTACAAGACGTGATGCTCACATATATGAGCTGCATACTGCTTGAAACATTCATCACAATCTGCCATTCATTTATGGCATCACTCCACATCCAAACACTCCATAATGTGGCTAGCAGCGAAATCATAAGGGAAGCGGTCGGCGTCTTGCCACGTTTATATATCCGTGGATCCTGAGTAGATCTGGAGGACTCATTTGTGGTTCAGTGGTAGAATGGTCGGCTGCCACGTGGGTGACTCGAGTTCGATTCCGGGTCAATGCACTAGTTGTAGAGGTTTAACTAGTAAATGCCCATGTTCTGCATTGAGTGTCGATTGTTTGATCACTGCGTTGACCTTGTCTGCTACGCGGGACTTCTTGATGGTTTCTGTCACGGGCAGCCTTTATATAGGAAATAACAACATTAACGACGCATTCAATTGAACAATAACAATACGACAAGAGCGAACACGATGACTCATTGGATGATGGAGATTGAACACAGAGCAGTAGACTGCATGAGCGAGAGTAAGCAGAAACTAACGAATATAGTGCAGTTTGCATTTGATTGTGGGGCTATTACTGTGTTTGCCCCGTAAACGTTTGCATTGAACGGGGTAGCCACCGCGTCATCATCAATGATTGGTCGGCATGGGTTTGATAGCATGATACGGTGTAGTGTGCCGACCAGCCAATTTCATACGTTACGATGTTTTTAGTGAGATAGGGGGTGTAAGGAATGGTTACCTTGCCCAGTGGAAAAGCCGACGTAACCTATTTGGAAATGACCTACATTTCTTTTATTTGACTGCTTTCTAGCACTGGTATGGTGTTGATTGGATGGTACGCAAAAATTAGCCTCAAGCGGGAGTTGAACCTGCGTTTCACTCACACCGGGAGCGCGTGCTATCAGTACATCTGGTAGGTGAAATGCGGGTTCAACTGCTTAGACTGGATTTTTGCGCACCACTTTATCTTCGTAGGTGTTTGAATGTCCAGGTCCAGATTATTATACAAACGGCATTCACATGATTATTTCCAGGAATGCAATGAGATCAACAATGATGTCTATCAGATATGGACACGTAAAGTGAAACGATAAGATCCAATAAGAATGATATGACACGATGACGTAAGGCGACTGGTATGAAGCGGAATGGGGCCGAACGGTTATCGCCCTTCACCGAGGAGGACTTTTTCGCTAGATCGAGCGCGACGGTGGTGCCTACTGAGTCCATTTCCTTCCGTACGAATTGATCTCTTGGCTTGCTGCCACTTGTCGGCATTCGACTCAACCGCCCATACAATCCTTGTGGTTAGTTCCACAGCGCTCACAGAATAAAAGAATAGTGAATAATCAACAGAGAAAATAGCACGAAATATATAATCGACGAGAATTTGTCATAGGTACATATCCAATAAAGCTGAGCGATATTTAAAACTCTCAACCTCCGGCGGGAATTGAACCCGCGCTCTACCTTTTTGAAGGGACGCACTAACCACTGCACTGGCGAGGCTTCCGTTCTGCTATCACTCCTTCTGCGACAGAAGATCTCAATCTCTCGCTCCGACAAAAGTGAAACGCGGGTTCAACTCTTGCTAAAGGTTCAGAGCTTTGAATATCACCTAGCGATATTGGATACAGTGCAATGCTTTTCACAAAAAATTTGATTCACTTGAGGAGGTGCCATTCGTGAAGGGTTTTTTGGAAATTTAAGTTCAACCTATCTTGACAGCAGTTTTGTGGACAGAGAATAATTTTTACTGTTATAAACTGGTGAAAATGTTAAATTGGTATAGAGTGCAATTTTGCGGAGTTTTTTGCCCGCTAATATTCTCGGTTGACCTTTTTCAAATTTCTGAACCAATGGGAAAATCGGTTTCGCAAACATTATGCCATTTAAATGAGTCACCCCCGTGCGGAATGTACAACAGCGAAATTGTTTTCTCTGCGCGTATGTAGAATATACGGGAAATAAGAGGTGCTCCGTAAACATTTACGTTTACCAAAATTATGGTACCCTTGAAATTAGGGAAAAAATTACTCAGCTCGGTTTCAATCCCGTCGTGTTCTGTAATACAACTACATTCCTTTACCATTTCGATACATTAGTAGCTTCAACAAAGTGAAAAACATTTCTCAAGAATCACCCTGATACTCTAGTGTCCTAGACTTCTTTTATGATCTGATCTGACTCAATTTCCCTTCTCCTTCCTCACAATGTTGGGCCTCTGGAGCAATCTTCCTGTCTACCCTTCTGAATCCTCCATGAAATTCTCCGAATTTCTACTTCTACCCATCGTTAGATATGTTGTTGCCCTGTCAAACCCTTTTTCATCAGAGTTGTAGTAAAGTGAGAAGCTGTGTAACTTGCTGCTGCAGCCACGCCAGCAGTCAGGTGAAGATTTTATGTAGGACGGGTTTATTTCTTCATTGACGAATTCTGGCAGTACTACGTTTACTTTGACGCTGTCCAGCGTTAGTAATCGATAAGGGTGGAAAGAAAGAGGTATCAGTTTCTGATGGACTATTAACCGCAACACGGCCTGTCTGTGGGCTGTGCAAAAAATTCCTGTCGTATTTTAGCTTGCTCAAGTCTTTGTGCGTATCCAAATGTTCTTCTCAAGCAGAGAGGATAACATTTGTATATAGCTTGAAGACGTGCGCATGCAAAGACATATCGGGCAATAGTCACACTCACTGCCATACTCTTATGGGGCATTTTAGGTGCACACGTATGACTCCGCCTTTTTCTGCTGTAATAATAATAAGAAAGAGATATGTAAATTTTTTGAATATGCGTTAAAAAACGCTACCTATTCATACACTTTATCATATGCGACATATTTTACATGATGGCTGTTATAGGACTTTGAGAATGACGACTTTTACGCAAAAAATGCCTTTTGTAATTTACAAATTTGTAGTTTGAATTTGGTAATGTCAAGCGGTAATCTGTCGGTGCACTGTCGGAAGAAAAAAGCGGATAAGGTGAAATCTCTCAAAACTTTTCACCTCAGCTCTTTTGTGACGTTTTCGGTCGGTTTTACAAAATTAAGTCGAGCCTTATCATGCAGCAAAATTACAAAGTTGGTCCCGTTTTTATTTTTCACTATGATTTTTGCAATGACGAATTGCCTGATGACTTCGGTATCGTTTAATTGGCATTTTCTTGGAGACGTTTTGATAAACAACTCGCCTGGACTTGCTCTAAGATGGAGCTTGCTCCAAGCTCCATCAATTTTGCGCGCCGATTCACTACCATCGTTCCCCTACGCGCCATTCGTAGCATGAATAGCAAGAGAATTTGTTCCCACGACAGCTCCACCTTGATTTAAGACAGACAGCTCGTATTTCAAAATGTTTTCAAGAAAATGCGCTATCGAAAGACTTGAAAGCATGCGATTTGAGTTGCTATAGTTAGTAAATCTGCAAAGTAAAATTTCCGCAAAAGGCGTTTTTCGGATACAAAAGTCGTTATCCTCAAAGTCCTATAAACCACTATATAAGGCATTCCGTATATAGAAAACGCATGAATAAATAGCCTTTTAAACGATTTCAAACAGTAGAAAAGAATTTGTAAATGTCTACTTTTTCTATTGTTATTGCATCAAAAAAAGAATGGCGGAGACATACTTAATAATGTTGTCTGATTATTTGGTCACTAAAAGTAGTTTTTTGAAAAACTCCTTAAATAGTATGCTACGTTATCGAGTCTCAAAGTTGCGATTTCCTCCTTTGCCTTCCTCAATACCCAATCTCCAGAAAACAATGCAGTCTATTCTTCGTTGGCGGAAATGCTGAGGTCCACGATGATTAGAGAAACAGAGGAAGTTGAATGGAACTTTTCTGCCACATTCTGCATCATGCAGATGTTCTGAAGACTCTTCATTCATCACCCGACAACAAGACATCACACTTGCACAACTCCTAAAGCCGTTCTTCGGTCGCGTTATTGTCTCACTCTCAACAATTTTTTGTTATTCCAATGCAAATCCTTCTGCAAAATTCTTATGCGACTGGCATTGAGAACATGCAGTAAGATCAAGCTTTAAATTCACTATTTGCTAGAATAACGTATGCAATCCATCTTCGCGCTCTTTGGCCTTTTTCTTGTTGTTATGAGAATTTATGGCAAAAAATCATTGTGCAGCTAAGGCAAGGAAAATACGGCTGAGAGAATTGCAGAGTGGGTCTCAGTGGTCCGATGGAAATACTAAGCTCCCGAAAAAAGTAATCGCCGAATCGCAGCCCCCTCAAGTTCCAAGTCATGCGAATAACTGAAGTCAAGATGAGCTCGTATCTCAGCATTCTTATGGTTACATTTGACGCACTAGATAGTTTGGAAAGAATGAAAAGTTCACTTCATTACCTTACAGTCTTCAACTACTTGAGTGAGTATATTTTGGCTTGTTGTCTACACATCTTTAGTAAATTCATGAACAATTCAAATGCAAACTTCTGATAAGCAGCCCTGACCCTTGTAATCGCGTATATTAGCAAACGATAAAAATGTCGCACATAGCTTCTTCAAAATTCTCGATACTATTGAAATTTATGCTAGCCATTATCGCATTCACTTCGACAAAATATTACAAAATCGGAAGATAAAACATATTAATCAAGTCTTTGTTTTCGCGAAACACATGTTTTTCGTTTCAAAGCAATACATTTTGTAAAAGTACAAATGGGAAAAATGCAAAAAATGCTGCCAAGTGCTTTGTCTAGTTCGGCCTCTTAATGGAAACAAATGTTAGAAAGAAATAAGTGCTTACAGTGTTAGAAACAAAGATACAAATACACTGCATCATTGTCGCCAAGAATGTTCTCCTCGCAATCTAGTGCCTAGAATGATGTGTGGTAAGGTAGAGCATGACAATCAAGACTATATCTTCCAGACAGTTGTGAATTCTTAGGACATCATAAACAACGTACTTTTTTGTTACTATTTTGTGCAGAAAAAAGCTGTGTGGACCACCATGTCACTCTAGTGGAGGCTAAAGAGTAATATTAGAAGGTTTTGTGAATAGACCGGCTCGGACGTTGCCAGCGGTCTGCTTGAATCGCACTTCTCTTTAGATTTGCAACGTCCTACTCAAATCTGAAATTCATTGTCAGCTGTCTGTAAGAAACGATATATTGATTCAATAATTTTGCTTCAAATTTGAAAACTTCAAAACTATCAAGTCGAAATTTTCAGATGCATATAAAATATTAAAGTGAATCTTAATTGCGAATAATCGAGCGTGCCATCTTTATTAATAAATCAGTATCTCGCACTTGTGAAAGGGTAGAAAAAAGTTTCTTCTGAGTTAATCAAATTAAAAGTACTCTGAAAATTGTGGAAATGATAGCAGACACTCGTTTTATCTAGAGATGATCATTTCTTGAGGCATAGAGCTAAGAGGAATATCATACCCTCATTTATCTCTTTTCTACTATTGTATGCACTTCAATTTTTCATTGTCTATCCTCTTTTTGCTTTCATTTCTTGTTATAGAGCTGAGTTGAATTGCAAGGCATCCACACTCTGAATCCTAATAAAATTGTTCTGGGATATTCTGTTTTATGTTAAGATTATCCTCATTATCTGTGTTGATTTAGCTGATAAAGTTCTAAGGAGATACATCTCGCTCGTCGATTACTTTTGTTATGGCAAATTACACAATGTTCTAGCCAGGCTGACTAAGAGACGCGGAGAAAGGCGTCTTGGTCGAAAATAAGCCAGCTTCAGCAGTTACACAGTGGTTGCTCTCAGTTAGGACATCAGGCGATGAGGCAGCGGAGAAGAGGCGATCAAACCTCTGGTTAGTCAATCATGAAAACGAACCGAATAATCACCCTAATCAGACGCCAGAAAGGCTGCCTTTAATCGTTCAGACCATCTTCACTTACCTTTTTGGGGTTCTAGTCACACTGAAATTCATTGATCGTCCCATTTAGAAAAAAATTGTAGTTAAATATGTCAATTAGCTAACGGGACCACATAAAAAATATATCAATTGAGAAAACAAAGCTAACATTAGAGAGGTGACCATGTACGCAAAAATAACGATTGCAATAATAGAACAATGCGAAAACAACAGTTCATGATACAGCATCTACCGCAGGTAGCATCACGCGCACATCTAACCGAAAATATCCAGACTGTAGCGGAATGCAGGTGACCCAGTATATACTAGAACGAATAACAGAAGCAAAAGAACAGTGGAGCAAATTCCATGAATGCAAGCGCATCCTTTTGGGCGACCACCTAACCAATGGGCGGTCCTGATGGCTAGAATCGGCCACCTGAATTCGCAGATGGCAAAAAATTACAGATAGGGATTAGGTCTCCGGTGCCTCATCATTTTCCTAGCAAGATATCAGTGAAGACGATAACTGCGAGAGAGAATGGATTTTAAGTGTGAGGGAGGGGGCTACTATCAGAAGAGACGAGTTTTCCAAATATCTTGGTAGCCACTCTATTATGTTCTGGAATAAAAGGACTCACCTAAATCCGTACTTTTTA